GCTGAGAACTTGGCTGCAAACTGGCAGCTGACTCAAAACATCACAATTTTCAACAGTTCAAAAAATGTAAATGTGTTGGTGACTGGTCACATAGGCTTCCACATGGTGTTTTATCGCAATCTTTCACGTTAGCCTACTACCAACTTGTATAAATCACTCTCAGACTCAAAAAAAACCCCTGTACACAACTTCATAAAGCATTACTGTACTGAATCAATCTTACCAGTTTCAGAATGATGTTAGAAGGTAATTTTGAGCAGTCGCAATTAGACAAAGGTATTTTCTGTGGGCCAGATTTGCTAACGTGCACAAAGCTCAAGTAAATGGGCTTTCCCAGGGAGCTTTGGAAGGACAGAAGGGAAAAAATTAAATCTCTCTCAACAAGCTATCCAGAAGTCAGTGAAACAGCTCTGTGACTTCTATTTGTGTTCATTAGCAAAGGAATACTCATGGCTGCTCTGTACTTCTTGAGCTGAAGGTTTGCCTACTGGAGCTGAAGGCTTCCCCGGCCAAGTTTTTCCGCATCCTGCACAGTCTGAGTTATAATCGAGCAGTGCACTTGAAGTAGCAATGACGTGAAGATCTGTGTACGTTTTCTTAGCTTTACCATCTAAGTGTGGCAGACTTAGGCTAGTTACACTCAGAATATGAAGCAAGATATAACCCAAAATCAGTCAACCTTTTCCATGCCAGAGGCATAAAGTAAATGTGAAAATTTATGAGAAACTTTACCTGCAGCCACTGTGACTGGTCATTGTGGCCAGAGGTCCAGGCATTAACTTTGCCTTGCTTGTCGAGTCGGGCTTTCCTAGGTTCCCAAGTGAACATGTCCATGTTGAGCGTTCGGAAAACACTGGAGGCAGTAATTTGGTAGTCCTGTATATGTCCTGATTTCATCCCCAGGGGCTCTGAGCAACCTGGAGGAGCAAAATAAGATCTGTGATACTACTTACTTATCTCTGTAAGTGGTTTAGGTTTTCCTTTATGAAAAAGAAATGTAGCAACTCGCAAAGAAAGGGCTTTAATCAAGGATATTGTTGGGGGAAACTGCAAACAAATGAAAAATAGCTAATTCAAAGCACTGTATTTCAACACCACCTTGGAAGAACTGAAAACACGGCAGAGACTTGGAAGTATTTTATCCTGGCATAAATTTATGAAGGGAAACAAACGGAAAAGATGACTCTCATCTCTTCCTGCCCAGCAGCCTGCCATTGTTTCCTTTAATCAGTTCAATTTTATCATGCTTTTTTGCTATGTCACATTAACCATGTGTCTTTATGTATTGAGGAAACATTAATTTTTTTTCATGCCACTAATGAAGTAAAAAGTTAACAAGCACTGAGCTCTTCTACGCCTTTGAATTACTGAACACCCAGCCGAAAATCGAAAAGACTCAAAACCTACTGACAGAGTGGAAGTCTGCAGAACAACGACTGTGAAGGAGGGAAAATAACAGGAGAATTGCTTAGGAGAATTAAAGAGTTAAAGGTTTACTTATTTACTCCAGGTGGATGTCCCACATGGAGTTATTTGGACTGCAGCTAAAGATAGACTTTGGGCCTTCCTTATCTCTGTTAGGTGTCCTTAGAAAAAGAGAAACAATATAAAGTTAATAACTGATTCTATGTTCCCCTACCTTGCTGCTGCACACTGGGAATCAGGAGGCAGAGGGAAAACAGAAGACACACTTGGACCCACAAGAGGGAGGAAACAAGCTGACAGCAGGAGAAACACCCTTTGATGGCAGCACAGTAACAGCCGTACTGGAAGCCAGGAGACATAGATGAGCTGCTTAGTTTTTAAGATGAAAAGACTAAGAAAAGGAAGGCAAGTCAAGTGGCTGACGGCAAGAGGACTGCTAAGAGATCAGAAAGGGTGCATGTATAACTGGATGGAATAATGTTTGATGGGTGTTTGAGGAAAAGGTGAAAGATGGTGAGGGAATATAAAAAGTGTTTTCTCATTTCCCATCTGCCTCAGCTGTCAAAAATCTGCATACATGCAGCTGTGTCCAAGTTTACATTTTACAAATTTAGTGACCCTAATTAATTCACTTGAATCATTCAACCTGCAAATAATATTTTAGTATACTCTAATTCACTGAGTCAGAACGTGCCCAGGATTTAATACACCTCATTTTGCAAGAGGTGTGTCATCCTTTAATGACTGCGAATATATGGAACCCTGATTTTAAATATCATTGGGAAGATCTCTGTTTTCCACCTGACTCTCACATCCCCAGCTGCTGAGCTGGTTCCTTACAAATAACCATTTGCCAAGTCACCAGCTGTGTTTCTTTAAGCATACCTGTAAGTCACAAAGGCTTTACTGCTGTGACAGGACCTCGCTCAGCTTGTGTCTCTTGAGAGAACCAGCACGCAACGTGATCACTTAAAATACCCAAAGTCTTTATATTGTTCTTCTTTATTTGAGCTAGGTACAGAAGCTGGTTGTCTTTTTCTTAAAAGTTTGCTTCCTCTATAGTAGGTTTACCCCTGTTTAAAGACCTGACTCTTACTTGTTCTCTGTGGATTTGTTTTCTGTGATATTACCAGCAAAGACCTTCTGGTCAGATTCTACTTTCACTTTCTCCAGTTGGTTTAACCCACAGAGTTAAGTGGAATTGTTTTGTATTCAAATCAGGGGAGATAAGACCAGGCTCTTCAGGTGAGCGAACAATAGCAGGAGTATATGCATATTACCAGGGAGAGGTGATGATAATATGCTCTTTAGTATGTTAACAATTTTACTTAAACTTTGAATGTTTAAGTACTGCAATGTTTTATATTGAATTTAAAAACAAACAAGCTAATTTTTGAAAAACTTTTCAGAATCGATTCTTAATGCCTAAATGGAAGCTTGCATAGCCTTGCCTGTAGAAAGAAACATCTAGTCTAAAACAACAGCAAAACACCTTTCTTGAGAGCAGAGGGGAGCAAATGAGAGAAAGTCATCTGCTGCTTTAGAAAAGGCTTTTTCTTGTTATTCAATTCCGAGGTATCACTACTAGATCACAAGGGCTGTCAGCAAGATTGTTTCACCTGAAGAATCTGAAGGAGGTTTCTGCTACAAAAGCACGGGTTGTCAAAACTGTTTTTCAGCAATGGTCCAATCTCTCAAAGAGAATGAACCCATTCTATCTCTTCTGAATGCTATTACTGATGTACAAGACAACAAACGTGTGTGCTTTTGCGTGTGTGCATGCGTAGCGCTCCCAGTGATGGGTTTTTACACTAATCTTTCTCCACTGCCCCTGAAGAAAAACAAAACGAGAAGGGAGACAGTTGTTAAAAGAAACGGAGAAAGTGAGAAAAAACAACGAGAACCATAAAAGGATGCTGTTGCGCACTCAGGTGACAGAACAACATCTTAGTGCCCTATCAAAGACAACACTAACAGATCACTTCCCAGCCCCTGCTCCACCCTGCTGCAAAGACAGAAGATAATGACTACCCCTTTTGATAGGTGAGCTTTCACCCTGAGCACAAAGGACAGAACGATCAAACTCTTACAAAACTTTCTGTCAGTAAATAATCACCCCTATAGAAGTACATTTATAAGAATGCTCAGGGCTCCCTGGAACGTCTCCTCTTCACTATACTTTACCTTCTTAACGTTTGTTTCACAGTATCCCTGTGAAAGGATTAAATCTCCCTTCCCTTTCTTAAAACCTGTTGAAGGTAATGAGAGCTAATGCAGAGATATTTATGGCTAAGCTCAGTGGAGTATTTTAGGCCAACACATTTCATATGTTTTAAGTAGTGATAAATGATAACTATGTACGTTTAAATCTATCTAGATATAAGTACATGGTTGCTTCTTATTTGGTCTAGCCCAATGAAACAGTACTGAAATCATGAGGAATCTACACTTTGGAAAAGTGTGGATGAGGGTCTGAGAATTGAAAGAAACCACACTGAGGCTATTCTCTGTTGTTTCTTCTGGGGGCACAACATTTTGCTCTCTAATTTGAGTCCCATACAGTGCCCTCATCCACCATTCTTTCAAGGAAGCTCAACCTCTCAACGAAATATTAAATTTCTGATACAGTGGAGGCAAAACCAGAGCCTGTGTAGATGTCAAGTGCTGGTGGCACTCAGAAAAGCTCCATCACCCAGATTTGCATGTGAAGGTCTACATTTGTCTTGTTTCAGAGCAGGATTCATGCAGTACTGAGTAGGCAGTTATGCTAGGCCAAGGGTGGTTTTGATCAATACTGTGCTATTGTGTCTTTTGTGAAAATAAAGAGATTTTCAAAATTATGTATAAAAATATAGGCAACTGGATAGGAAAAAATACATGAAGTCCATGATCTTTTTTTTCATCGAGCCTGTCTGAAACTTTTAACAGACAAATATGAAGAGAATTTCCACTCCTTTTGCTCACTGCAAGTAGTATTTTAGCCAGTAAATGCTCCCGTTTATGCACACAGGATTCTTTTCAGGGTTAGATATTGCTGAAGATGAACAGGGGCAGCGGAATCTGGTTTTAAATGCAGATGTTAAAAAGGCCCCTTGCATGTGAGCTGGTGCGAAAGGATTCTATAGCTACCTGTAGGTTTGGATGGAAACACAGTTTCCAGAAAACAACAGGCCAAAGTGAATAAAAGTAAGCGCTGAGAAGGTAGTGTGTGAAAGTTTGCTGAGGACTGATAAGCTTTGGGCACTAGCATTCTTCTGCAAGAGCTGATAAACTCAGAACACCAAGAATCTGCTGAATCTCTACAAGGCCACTAAAAAACACTAACATCAACAACATGTAACTTGGAGCATATGCAAGATGACAGGATCTGCTATAAGCCGACGAAGATTATGTGACTGTATACAGACTGGACTGAAACAAAGGACCACGTGAAGCACTTCCCAAACATCTACCCCGTGTCCACTGGCATGTCAGTGTGACCCTCTGCTCCTGAGGACACAGCTGGGCTTGCCCTCCCTCCCAGCTGCTGTTGCAGACAGGTAACTATGAGTGAGTAAGTATTAGTGAGTGTTTGAGTGTGTGAATGTACTGCGTGAGTGAATAAGTGAATGTGTTGTGTGAACAGCTATCTGTTGTTAGTAACAGTTCGATTCTACTTACTACTAACAGCTTAAATGAATAAAAGGTATTCTAAGAAATCTTAGTTGTTACCTGTGTCTCCTCACAACTAAGTACACTCCGAGAGAAAGGAATTTACAGCACAGAGATGTGCAAAACACAAGTAAAGGCAGGAACACAAGGCCATGCGAATTAATAAATGCATATTTTACTGATGGCTAAGCACTGAAAATGCATTTCAAAAAATCTGATTACGGGTCCTGGTAAGTTAAACTATTAATGAGACTATAGTTGACCATATTGCTGAACATATTGCTGAAGTACGACCCAAGAAAGGATCCATTTTTAGGATGATCGTCCTGCAACATAGTCTCCTTCCCTTCAGTAGTTATTCTCTTCTCTAGCTCCATCACTTGTTAGAGAAGCCAGATCTCTCAACGTGCTTTTCAGCCTAAAATAGACCACCTGGAATAAGAGTGCATTAGACTGTCTTTATGTATAATTATACTCTCCTTTCAGCAGAGACTGAAATTGTTTTGCTGAGCCTTGGCTGCCTGCAGTTCTAAGAAATGATGACCTTGAAACTGTAAGGAGACCGCTGAAATGAATTCACTTCAGTAGCTTTCACAGTTCTTTGAGCAAAACAATTCCTGGTCATTCTGGCAAGGACTTACTCTAAATTGTGGTTCCAGAAAGGGAAGACAAAAAAAAAAATCTAATAGACTAAAGCAGCTAGACAGAATTTTCTATTTACTCTCAAATCTATCTATATTGGAAAAGGGCTACACTGAGATTAATGCATTAGCTTTTCATTTCTGAATCTGGTTTTGATGCCACTAGGGGACTGAAAATTATTTAACTCCTACTGTTTTGATATATCATTCGTGAACTGGATGACTACTGTTTGTACAGTAAGCAGGTAGCCACATGAAAATCATTCTTAAATGAATTTGTGGCGCGCTCCCACTGGAAAAGGTTGATCCCTTGAAAAAGATAAACAAAGTTACATGCTTTACTGAATTTGTAAAGGAACATGGTTCTTGCAGAGATTAGCTAGAGGTCAAGCTCTACATTTATGAGCTATAACGTCTGCTACTCTGAACCTTAAGAGGGTTTATATTAGCTCTACTTTTTCACTTACTTTTCCTACAAGACACAATCACTGCCTCTGCTGGAAAGTCACAAAACAAATCTAAACTCAAATGTTTTCTAAAGCAGCCCAGCAAAATATATCTTATTCCAGTCCAGATGAAGCCCTCTTGTACCTCCAAGGATGCCATGCAACATACCTTCAACCAGCAGCATGATCACCCAGCAGTCATGAGAAATGACTCAGATTGACCTTGGTTCCTGGTTCTGCCCTGAGTCTGCTGTGCAATACCGAACCAACAGCTTCAGTTCTCAGCAACTGTTTCTCTTCCTATGCTTTGTTTTGGCTGTACCAAGTGGCAAGTTAGAGACTGTCTCAGTGTCTGTTCAATATGTACTATTACAGCTCCTGATATCTATTGGTACTTATTAAAACTGCTATAACTGACCTTTTCTAGGTTACACATCACTGGAGGCCAATGTGCTCAAAAAGATTTACTAAGAATTATGAGGTTGCTACTATGCTACCCTACTACTACTACTACCACTACCCTGCCATAAGCAACTATTCTTGCTTATATCATGTACATAAAAAGAGACAAGTAAGTATCTGGTTAACCTCAGTGATGCCAACTGCATTTCACCATGAATAAATTGGATCTGTTTCAGACCACTGGCACAAAAACGTGTTGCTTGTTTGTTCATTTCTGAGATACGACAATTGCTGTAAAACCCACCTGATAACTCACAGCCAAGAAGTTCCATTCTCAATGTACAATGCCTTCTGCAGACCTGAGGATACAGCCGTATGTACTGTGACTTTATTGGTGGTGTGAAGGAGTTGGCATATGGAGTGTTGTTGTCCACGTTTCCACGGAACACCTACAATAAAATGACATATTCATAAAAATACGCTAAGAGAATTGAGATGTTCATTTCATTTCCATGGCTCAAACATACCCCCTTTGTTCTTCTAACCTTCCCTCCTCGGTTCTCTGTGACTTTTTCACAAATAGAGGCTGTTCTTTCACTTCTCATGCCCAGCACTCAGGGTTTTAAGGAAGGTATAACTGCCACTTACTTACGCATGCAGACGTTTGCTGCCTCTGCCGAATCAGGGCCTTTGACTTGTCACTCCTAGAAGCTGGAGCTTCTAATGCACTAACCTACTTCTTCTTTTCAAATTAGTGTATCACATAGTCCCTGTTCAATCTAGCCTGCAATTATTTACACTGATTGACATTTACTTTTTTCCCTATAGTTCAAGAAACTGCTCCAGCTTCTACTGAAGTCTACTGAAACCTTTCCATTGATCTCAGCGGGAGCTGAATTAAACCTAAAAACATTCTTCTATTCTCCTCGCTCTGACCAGATATGATTATATTTTGTTTTCTTCCCTCATTATACACCTTTTCACATTGCATTTCAACTTTCTGCCTGCATAAGAGAAACTATGTCAAACATTGCTAAGTGTCTTGAGTGCTATCTTAACTTACACAGTAAAGTGATTCTTGCTGCTCTGCATGCAGAACTCTCTATAAAAGTAAATTGTAACTATAACACTTCTTACTGGATGATACTGTTTGTGCAATGCAGAGATTAGCATTGATGAATGAGTGCTATGCTTTTAAGGGTTAACATTAATCTGCTAGTGTAATAAAACTAAATTGAAAACAGAGTAATGAGTAATTACTGGTAAACTAATTAAAATGAAAATCAGTTAAGTGTAATAAACAGGATTATTCTAGCTTTGGGACACAATATTTTTACAACCATCAATTAAAGTATAAGAAATTCCTAGTAGACAGAAAGTGCAATTTTTGGCCATGTTTTTTTTTCGGAGAAAAATAATAACAAGGCAATATCTCAGACTGCTTTCTCTGTTTCTCTGTCAGGCAACTACGCTTATCTACTAGAGATATCTCATACTTCTGAAGGCAGCTAAACCATGAGACTTACGCATACAGAGATGACTTAATCTTACCATATCTTCATTTGTGCCTTTTACTTTGTACATTGACCAAGACTTCCCATCATTACTATATGCGATTTTGTAAGATTTTATATATTCTGGACTTCCGATCCTCTTGGCTCCTTGGGTTATTACTCCAGTGACTCTCATTTTCCTCTGCAGGTTTATCTGAAATAACAACACAATATCATCATTAAATATCTGAGGGACACAATGCTGTTACTAGATTCTTTTCTTTTTCTAACTCCAAGGAAAAAAAAGAGAACTGTAGCATTTAAATGACTATCTCAATTTTTGCATTAACTCCATTTATTTTTCATTCATGTCATATATAAATTAAAAAAATAAATGAAAAAAAATTTGAACAATAAGCATGCACTATATTGCTGTCTTTGTGTGTATGTGTATGCACACAGACACACACACAAACACAGCACTGGTATATATCTAAAAAGGAAATGCAACAACACTTTTTAATACACTTGTTTATTAAAGGCTGGATCTTCCATTCTACTAGAAGACAATTTAGAATTCCATCTGAAGGAGTCCAAGCTAACTTCAGGTCAACTTTTTTTTCTCAAAGCCTAAGTAAAAATACACAGATGCACTATAAAGCAATTAAACAGACTTTTCCTTGATACTTACTGAAAATTCATAGATTTAAAGATCATGAGCAAAATGCCAGTTCCAAAGCATTCAAGGGCAAAATACTAACGGCTACTAAGGGATGTGAACATTCCCAACGTATTTGTTTGAGCAAGCCTTCACACCACAAAGTAAAAAATGAAGGTGTACAGAGAGTTCAAGGTACAACACGCAGCCTTAATTTTTCCTTGCTTATCCATGCATGATATGTGAAAGCTAACTATATTCTTACAAAAGTCAGAATGTTATACTTCTAAATCAAATAATATTAGCATCCTCAACCTCATCCCTGTAATGAAGACTACCAAGAGGTAATCTCTGACAATTGCACTCCCACTCCTTACCAAGAGGCAGTTGAAACCTGTAACTGCTATACCAAATGAAGCGTAACAAAGTGATGTCATACTGTCAGGCTGGCATAAAGGTGCAGGCAGATGTGTGAAGAAAGGAAGTGAGTGGGAATAATAAAGAGTAATCAATCGGGAAAATGTAAATAACACATCAGGCTACTTTAGCACTTGCTTCCTCCTAAAGAACCTTCTCAGTGATCCCCAGCTGGTGGGGCGACCACCGCGCTCCCTCCTCCCTGGGCTGGCAGCCCCCAGGCAGGGACGCGGGAAGTCAGAGACAGGCCACGTATCACCTGCTAAGATGCCTCATTGCAGGGCAGTCTGAAGATTTTCTGTCACTTGCTAATGTCACCTAGGGTCTACTAAGGACGTAAAGATCAAATGCCAATGTTACGATATCTCACTACACACACAATTGGAGAGTGGGGAAAGACGATATTTTACTGCAGGTTCTTTCTGAGGAGTGCTAGCTATTTCTCAGCTACCAGAAATAGTTAGGCTTTCTCATACTTCTCTTTTTGAGGCAAGAGAAACGCCATTTTAGTTTTACCCCATTTGCCCCATATAAATAATGAGTAAACATTCATACACCTTTAGAATAACAATGTTTTTTTGCAAGAGATTTAGATCTGATTTGTATTGTTGTGCGAGAGAAGAGAAGCAGCCCCACAAAAGTTAAGAAAGATCTTGTAAAAATTCTGATCTATATCAGGAAAATTCAGGAAGTTTTGCAATTCCAATGTAGTGAATGGAACCAGGAATTTAGACAGGTATAAGAAAGAAGAGACTCAGGTCCAATCCATTTACAGTCTTGGGAAACTTCCTTCTTTCCACAGTCTTTCAAAAAAACCACCTCCCTCCCCCCAAATACACACACACACACACTCACGCACGCACGCACGCAGCAACCCTATGTTCTCCTGGAAAAAAAAGGATAATGTTATCCTAAGAGGACAACTCCAGAGCTTATCATCAGCCCTGAACGCAGACAAGCCTGTAAGTAAAGTGAAACATACTTGGTACTCCAAGATGTAGGTTAACCTAGAATAGCAAACAATTACACACAAAGGCTTCTAGAGGTTTCTTAGGCAAGTTTTACTCTCTATATGTAATTTAAGAATACTCTTATACTTAAACAGGCAAGATGAAACAAAAGAATTTGTCATCTAATATTTACAAAAGTGATAATACTTAAAGACCACCATCTCCAAAATCAAATTAGAAAAAGTACAGTCAAAAATAAAATAGTCTTTGCTTATTTGCCTTTCACATATGCTTATTTGCCTTTATATGTGCACACATAAGACATTTTATTGCTTGGAAAAAAAGGAAGATATAGTGTAGTACCAAACATGTTTTCTTTGATCCAGTCAGGCATAGAAGTTGGTATTTTTTCAGCATTACTCCCCAAATTTTTTTTAGCTAATGATCTAGGGAAGGTTTTTTGGATGAGAATTTATGTAGAAAATGTTTTTTCTTTAATGGAAGAAAGAGTAGTTTCCAATGAAAACATGGCTTTAACCACTTCATATATTCACAGACCGGCTCCTTTCCAGACCCCAGCCTCCATCTCTAATGCACAACAAAACAATTACTGCAATTTAAGAAGTAAAACAATGACACAAAAAAGCACCCAGAATTAATCTGCCAAAGAGCTTAATACTGAGGAAAAAAGAGCCCTATTGAATCAAAGGAAGATTTAGTTACAGAATTATCAGAAGTAAATAAAAATAACTTAATTTTTAAATACTCACTTAATCTGCATAATGTTTAACCTGTGTTCTTTGACCTTCAGGAATCAAAAAGCATTCCCTTTTTTCAGCTATACACCAATCCCCTTACTTCATATCTGGATATCTGCATGTATAAGCTATGCAATTTTATTTACATCTGTGTTTTAACAGATAGTATCTTTCCTTTTAGGATTTTTCTGGATCAGCATCCCTACTCTGAGTCGCAAACTGATTTTTGGCTTTAAACAGTATTGAGGTTCAAATAAATTAGGAAATAAAAATGGGACACACTGTTTTGCAATTAGGTCTATATATTCTGTCAAAGTTTGCAGGAGAACCCCAATGAAGGGGGAGAAAAAAACACTCAGAGATCCCTACAGCTTTAGAATGTACAAAATTGTCATGGGGCTGACTTTACGCCTGGGGTATCTCCATTCAGTGCATAAGGGTACACCAGGAATTAAGTGGCCCTTTGTGTCTGGGTTCTTCTACGTGCTTTAAATTTTTCATGTCAGTGTTTAGCAAAATACAAAATATTACAACTGTGCAAGGACTATAATGAGGCAGCTGCTGAAATCTTTCTTAGTTAATGTACTTCAGTAGGAAGCAGAGCTCCCCATGTGAAACGTGCACTAGCTCTCTTAGCACTAAAAGCATTTTAAACGCATTTTTCTCTGGCAATTGTGGAAAAAAAAAACCCCAACTTCAGACAGCTCTGCTTCGTGGATACAGGAGAAATATGGATTTAGGATAGAACGTTATATATTCTAATTACATACATGTCCTAGTTTTATAACAAATAAAGAAGTGAAAGTAATCAGGATAACAAGAGTTTAATAAATCACTTTGAAAATACAATAGCTTATTTAAGTATAAAGGACCCATATTCTTACCTAGACTAACCAGACAAATCAAGATACTTTAAGAGAAGTACTTGCCAATAGTACTTTAAGAGAAGATAAAAAAAATCCCAATAATGTCAAAGTATTAATTTATGGTAAAGACCTTGGAAGCAGAAACTCGCATTGAAATTTGAGGAAAGAACAAAAAAAGAGTAAAAAAAAAAAAGAACCAAAAAAAACCCCCAGAGACTAATCAGTTCTACTCCCCTTACTTACATTTAAAGTTATTTCGAGAGGAGGAGATTCAGATTAGCCAGTTGGCCTTTGTGCATAGTACTGCACCTGGGGGTGCTCCTGGGTCCAGCAATTTATATCTAGCCTAATTCACCCAACACAGGTCAGGGAATGTTCAAAAGCATACAAAGTAAAGGATGCCTGTTGCCTTTCTTCCTATGATTAAGTAGCACTCTATGAAACTTGAGTAAGGTGCTGTTTAACACATACAGGTAATAGAGTCTGCCTCAAGTAGTTTTTTAATATCGGTGTAATTACAGAACAGTCAGTAATCTGTGGGATGAAAAACTAAAATTAGCCTCTTGATTTGGGTTAGATCTCAAGATAAATCAATAGAAGGGCACATGAGTATGCTAAGTTTGGTCCTACAGTAGAACTGGATACAGAACTTCAATAGATCTTTCCTCCCCCCAGCTCTCCAAAATGAGGAAATTTATTTGAATTTTGGGTCTGAGGATTAACAGGAAAGCTACTGGAAAATAGCGATTTCTCTGGAAATAGCTACCATCCTCCTTTGCTTTTCAGCGGTCAGAGAGATGAACTGGCAGTGAAGGAAGAAAGTAGATAATGTACACCCGCCTGGGGAATCTCGTCTCCAGTGGAAATAAATTATCCCGGACTCGCAGTTGTTTCATGGTGGTGTAAACATACTGATTCAATTAATCTAAATCCGATTCTACAAGAAATAGATTATGTCTACATGATATACGGTGGACGATACGAAATCACTATGCTGATATTACAAGTCAGATAAAAGTTCAGCAACTAACAAACATCGGAGACAACTCAAGCTAATAAACAGTGCCAAGGGACAAAATATGGTACACCAGGTTCAATGCTGTATAAAATGTCCAAGGTTGAACTTATGTACGGCCCATCACTTGGTGCCTTCTATACTGTATCATACAGTTAATTTGCTCATAAAGAAATCTGTCTTAGGGTGCTAAATCATTCAGATACCTATGCTGAAGATGTAGCCAACCAAAACTGATCATTTAACTGGAATTTAACTTAAAAGAACCCACATCAGAAAGCCAACAAAAGAAATGGAAAAAGTATTTTCCCAAGAGCGATATGAACAAGGTAAATTTTCAAGTTTTTACAGACTGCATAGAGTAAAAATAATATAATATTTTTAGAGACAATTCAGAACTAATCCTGTAAATCTGCATGACGTGTACAGCTTCAGTTTCAGGTGTGAGTATATGTAGGAGCATAGGACGGGATGGAACCACTTGAAGCTTGTTTCCCATGATGGCTAGCAGCTGTTCAATAAACTGCTAGTCCAAACGGCTCCACAAAAC